TAGACTCGATGTACAAAAAAATCCTTTTTTTCAAGTTTCATGAAATAATATCTAAGGTTTTTTTTCAATTTTTCGAAGTTTTTTCATTATTGTGGACTTTTAATCATCTAGGTCTCCTACTCTCGATTTAGGAACAATTATTTAACACTTTCGAAAAATGTAGAGTGATGAATGCATTTCTTCAAAGTGGTTTGTTTGTCACTCATCAAAAACTTTCATGCAAACTGAACTTGATAAACTGGCACAATTTTAGAACTTCCTCCGTAGTCATCAAATTTGATACCCATGTGTCTAGTATGTTGCAAATCTCAAAGAAATGTTGATATAACAAGAGAAGGAGGCCTAGATGATCATAAGTCTGTAATAATGAAAAAAAACTCCGAAAAATAACAAAAAAAAACCTATATATTGTTTCTCGAAAATTGCGAAAAGGACTTTTTTGCGTATTGAGTCTGAAAGTGCCACTTTTCAGGAGTGTTTATGAACTTTACATTTATGAAATAAAGCTTAGAAGTGTTTTCCATCGACAGAATAAGAACCAATTCATTTGGTGAAATCCCAATGGAAATATACAATTTTCTTTTTGATATGTGACTTTTGAAACACTTCGTACTAGAGACATATCAATTGCTAATTAACATAAGTATTTCATACAGGTTTTCCGATAATCTTGGTTTTTAGGGGCCGAAACCGAACTCAAAACTTTTTCGAACGATACAGTCTTGTAGAGAATTAAATTCTCTATAAAATGATGAGTTTGTATGCACGATAATTATTCTTCCTGAATATGATAAAAACTCATCTGTTCAAGTACAGTTTATAGTGAAAAAAGACAGCAAAAAAATTTTCGTTCTGTCACTTTATATACACGGCGTATGGGTATATATATATATATATATATATATTTCTTTCTTTCCTTCATTCACGGACTTTGCGTATATAAGGTGACAGAATGAAAAAATTTTTTTTTTCTTGCTTCTCAACTGTACATTGTATTTGAAAAGATAGGCTCTTAATCATATGCAGGAAAAATAGTTATTGTACAACCAAGCACATGAGTTTGTCGAGAATTTAATTCTCTACAAGCCTGTATCGTTCAAAACAATTTAGAGTATGATTTCACCATCTAAAAATCAAGATTATCGAAAGACCTGTATGAAATACCAAGTGTCATTAGCAATAAATATATCTTTTATATAATGATTTTTAGTAATCAAATACATGATTTCATTCAATTTGGTTTTCTCTATCGAATGATGTATTTTGATTTGCATTTTTATTTTATCAAACCCGAAAAAGTTAAGTTCTCTATAAAAACCATAGGACTTCAGATATTTTTGGAGTTTTTGAGGTTCTATCAATATTATTTTCGATTGTAATATGCATCACCGTGTAGAGAATCGTTTTCTCTATGGAATGATATATAACTCAAAATATTTTGATGCACAATAGAGACTCCATAAAAAGAAAATTACAGATGTCCAAATAATTTTTTGCATAGGAAATCAAAAAGCATCTTATAGAAAAACTTTTTTTGAGAGAAATATTTTTGTACAATAAAGTGGAGACTTGGATCTATCGAGTGGTATTATTAGAATCGAGAAAATGTTTTTTCTTCTTTGTGAAATTTGGTTTACAAGACAAGCATTATAGGGTGTTCGAATAATTATTTTACATAGTGTACACTTACTCGTTAAATTCGTGCAAAATCTTGTGTGTTCACCACCAGAATAACACTATAATCTGTCGACATTGTTTTATAAATATCAGTAAAGCATTGTATTGTCTATATATACATTTTGATATAAGTTGAGCTTTTACGCATGAATGCCTATGTATGGATGAATAGAGCATAAAATATTAACCGTATACTGCCTTTGTTTCATACAAATATTACCGTTGTTGTGCTTGCACTGTTTACCATATTTTACACAGATTAATCGACGGCGATGAAGAGTCAATTGAATGTTCACCTGAATGTGCGCTATACCACGTTGTAACCTATTCTTTTTTACACTAAGCGCACAGAATCGACAAAATATTATGACTTCACTGGCCATCGTTTCTCGCTCAAAAGCATAATCTTAGTTAAAACCAACCTCAAATAACATTTTTGAAACGTAATTGAGGTTATCAGTTTTGCATCCACAACAACAAGCATATCTTCCTGTTTGTGAAGAATCTAACAGATAATCTATCCTCACTCTACAGACGTAAACTCTTGTTGCTTTTTCTACCGTTAAATGGTTCCACAGTCCCGAAGACACATTTCGCAAGAACAATCCATAAAAGCTTTTATTAAAGATCGTCTAGGTAAAAGTCACACTTTCCATCCCTTCGCGGCGTCCGGTTTGACTGAACTTCTATCTTCTCAGTGATCGATTGAAAAACATTTTTGAGAAACAACATATTTGTTTAAGTATAGTACTTGTCTAATATTGAACAGAAGATCATCATCAAAGTGTATCAGAACTAGAAATGTAATACGTATGTGTGTTCCAGATAAAAAAGCTAGTTTTCTTGAATAATAAACTTAAGTAAAACCTGTCAAAAACTTTTTAATTCATTTATGAATACTTATTTTATTGATTTCGTTCAAGGAAATATA